CAGAGAGAATATGTTTTTCTCTAATTATGCCAAAAATCATCTCTCTAATTTACATTTAATACCAGTAAATACTAATTTGCTCAATTTACACCCAATTTAAACCCTATTATTTCATTCTTAAACTAATTTTATGTTAACCAACCCTTGCTTACATCATTTCTCAGTAGTTGATTACATAGATTATTTATTCATCATGACAATCACACGACCATTTGGTTCGACAGTCGAGATGTTGCCACCTGGTATTTTGTTGTTTTAATCGCGCGATGAAAGGTGACGACGGATTAGATGACGTGTAATAAAACTATTGGCTAGACACGTTGTAAGAATTAGTACTTTCGTATATAAAATCTGAAACCAGAATCGAAGTCGTAAAACGGAAAAATCTTTAAAGCCTTTCTTGACTGATTTATACTACCGCCGGGAAGACGAGATGCCGACGATTTACTTTTTCCGATGTATGTTACTATTGATAGTGATCTCATTGGTGAATCGTTCAAGCGCTGAGCGAGTTAATTCCTCTGGAGGAATGGTCTGGTCCACTGCGAGAGATGAAGCGGAATTGGTAGAAGATTCCGGTGTGGTGATCGGAGAACAGGATCAAATCGACGGTGGATTTTCTTCCCTTGATGGGATGTTACACTGGGCGATAGGTAGATTTAATTTTGTCACTGTTGTTCTTCTTCGTTACTGGTTTTTTCCGTCCAGATCTGATTCTACTTCGATTTCTCCGGTAGGTCACTCGGATCCGGCGACACTTAAGGAAGCAGCTCACGATGCAAAGAAGATGTCTCTGGATGAGTTACAGAAGCGTCAATTGGAATTAAAGGTGAAGAACTTGTGACTTTGGTTTTTTGATTGATACTGTGTGTTCTCTGTTATTCAATCTGAAATTGTTCTTGAATAGGAGCTTGTGGAGAAGCTGAAAATGCCATCAGACGCAAAGTTGATGCAAATAGCCATTGATGATTTGAATAACTCGTCTTTGTCTCTTGAAGATCGTCACCGTGCTTTGCAGGAGCTATTGATTCTCGTTGAACCTATTGATAATGCGAATGGTAACTGGAAGCATAAACTTCCTATTAAATTTCTTATACAAACGTTGCTGATCAATTGTGAGTTTCTTATCATTCTTCTCTATGCAGATTTGAGCAAATCAGGAGGGCTTCGTGTTGTTGCAGGAGAGCTTAATCATTCTGATGTAGATGTAAGGAAACTAGCTGCGTGGGTGCTCGGGAAAGCTAGCCAAAACAACCCTTTTGTTCAAGAGCAGGTTTGTTCTCGTTGGACTTGCATAGCAGAACTGTGTGTAGAAGGCCCTTTTTGTAATAAATCATCTGTCTTCTTCTGTGAATATGGTACTAGGTTCTTGAACTTGGGGCTTTAACAACACTGATAAAGATGGTAAACTCTAGTTCTACTGAAGAAGCTGGGAAAGCACTCTTTGCTGTTTCTGCCATGATACGGAATAATGTAGCTGGTCAGGACATGTTTTATGCAGCACATGGATACATTATGCTTCAGGTGAGCACACCAGAAAGAGATCGTGTCAGGTCTTGTTCATTTATTTTTTAAATCAAAGAAACCAATCACGTTTTTTTGTTCTGCAGGATGTGATGAGCAATGAGAGCTTGGATATTAAACTGAGAAGGAAAGCCGTTTTCCTAGTGGGTGATTTGGCCGAGTGTCAATTACAAAACACAGAGAAAGCTGAACTTCCTATATTCAATGATCGCTTGTTCCTAAAGTCTGTGGTCGATTTGATTGTTGTGCTTGATCTTGATCTCCAAGAGAAGGTGAAACTGGCCTCATGACCTTTCCTTCCTATATGAATCTTCGGACTCAAGTCTTTTTTAACTTATGCTACTTGGGAAATGTGATTCAGGCTCTTGAAGCAATCAAGACTCTTCTTCAACTTAAATCCGTAGAGCCTCTGATTCTCAGAGATTTCTGCGGGTTGGAAGGATCATTGAAGAGAATGAAAATGCAGCTTGAGGAATCAATGGCGGATGAAAACATGAGAGACTATGCTGCAGATGTGGAAAGCCTTCGTGGTGAAGTGGAACTGATCTTCCGCCAAAAGCTTGGACATTTATGAACCATGGTGATACAGTAGGAAAGCAACTCCTGGTGCGTTAATTTATTAGAGGGAAAAACGCTTTAGCTATAGGATTTGTTGACAAATCTAGTTCCCTTAGATAGATTTAAGATGTGTAACTTAGTCGGATCTTGTTGATCCATTTTGCATGTTATTTTTCTTCCTCGTATCTTTAGTCGCATTTCATGTTTGCATGGTTCTATGTATAGAGCATTATAAACTTCCACTTTGCTTGATTAGTGGTCCATGTAAATGTTGGAGTTGCAGACACTTTGTTATGGTAGTGGTAG